CTTTGATTATGTTTTTTGCGATTGAAAAATTTTTGGGAAATAATGGGTAGTTCTGGCTGTATAACTCCAATTGGTTGAGAACCAATTAAAATTTTGAATACAAGGTACATTACCGATATAAAAATTGCACATAAATTGAGAAACTTGATCATTGATTAGTGATCTCAGGGAGAAAAAAAAATTCGCACAGAAGAAAAAAAAATCGCATTTATTTCTTAATACTTTATTGTTTTTTGTAATCTTGTTCGAGAAATTGAAACACTTTCACCAGCTTGTAAAACTGATTGAAACATTTCTTGCATCCTGTTGAAAAAATTGCATCATTTAAAAATTTTTATTTTTCTCTGGAATAATTTCAATACTTTTGCGAACATGCTAGAAAAAACAGACTGGTTATCAAACCCACAATAAATCTATGTCATCTTTCTTTGCAAATCTATAATCATCAAAAAACACTCAATTATGATCACCATTTACAAATGCATAAGCATCCAAAAATTCATATAAAACAGTCAATAAAACAGCCAATTACTTTCAACAATTCAAGTAGAGGTCAAATATATTTAAACTCAAAATAAATATCAAATTCAACTGCAAGTTCCAAGTTTTTTGAAAATGTTGAAAACGTAATCTTTTTTGAAGGTTCATCAAGTTTCAACAATTGTTTATTGTAACTTTGTTCATTATTCATTTTTGAAAATTACTGTTACACCTTATAGCGAAAATTTTCTTAGAAGTAGACAGAAAATGTCATAGCAAAAAAAAGTTTTGACTCTGCTTCATCTTTCAAACAATTTTCACGAAGTCTTAATTAGTGTTTTGATGTCCGTCATCATACAAGCTTAGAAGTGTGCTTTTTGAGATTTTTACACTGCTTATAACTAATGTAATTTCAAAATTTCATCAAAATTTTTGCTATTTTTTTTATTTTTACGAAACCTTATTCTGAACAAGTTGACTAAAAGAATTTGCATAATTGGTCTTACTGGAATAAAACTAACTTTTCACGTTTTACCTTGAATTATAAAAAATAGACATGGTTTCAATTGTCTCAACGTTTTCTAGAAACTTATCGAGGTCGTAGAAAGCCTTACCGCCAGACAGCTATCAATAGGTCTTTAATCAATTTCATCCGTTCAAACGGGTACTAGAAATAGTTTTCCTGGACTTTATGGCACAACTAATAACAACTTGTGAAAGACAAAACCTAACTTAGGCAAGAGTAGCCGGTTGTTTGTTAGAAGCACAGAATGTTCCGATCTCAGCTGTTCAAAAAAAGCTAGAAAACAGTTTTGTTTGTTTTCAAAACGAACCGTTTTTCTGTATGAGCAAGACTGATTGCAAAGTTAAAAAATGCTTAAAAAGTTAGCATTGGCCTTAATTGTCCACAGTTGTTTCTCAAAACCAAAACCGATCAAAACTACTCGTATCAAAGCGAAGCATCGTATGTTCCGATTGTTTTAAATTGCTTATGGAACGGTGTTCCTTTTACAAAACTGATAAATTTTTCAAACAAAAATGAAAAATTGTTCAGAAAAAACTTTTCAAATTGTCCCCACACGCCACAAAAAAATAAAATGATACATTTTGCACCTAGTAACGTAGCAGTCATGACAAAACATGTTTCAACCAATTTAGAACCATTTCTAAGACGGATTAAATCTCTTACTCGTTAACAGCACGAAATGTAATGCTCGTTAATTGTCCCATAATGGAAAATTTTAAACCCCCAAAACTTTAATAAAAATATTCATAGGCTAATATAATTACAAATTTGAGCTCATGACTCTAATAGCTTTTACACGGTATAAAAAGATTTGGCAAAACGGCACGTTAAAAAGCAGAAATTGGTCTAGATAATAAAACAACCCACGCACAAACATTTCGTCACTTTCTTCGAAAAAATCGGAACAATAAAATAACAAAACTGATTGTATCATGGTGGAGCCCTGAATGTTTTTAATGCCTTTTAATCTCAATGTAGGAGTGCTCGCTCTCAGAAAATTAACAAGCTTTAAAAAAATGAAAAAACTTAGAACAACATTTGAGCTTGTTTTTGAAAACCATCACCTCACATATTATGTAATATTTTAAGTAAAATAATTATCACATAGCAGAAACGTTAAATATTTCAAAGAGCATGCCTCAATTCAATTTGGAAAGATCTCTAATAGTGATTGAATTTACTCTCAGATGTAATAGCCTGTCCCATAATTTTATGAAACATGATCACATGTGAAAAGTCATTTCATAGTCAAGACATCAAAACTTTTCGGATAATGTAAACAAATATGTTCATACACGGCTAGTTAAAAACTTCTGAAGAAAACGACCACCGAGCACAAACATTTGATCACTTTCTTCAAAAGTCGGAAAATGTTTGTATGTAATCTTAGGCAGAGCACAACAAGATGTCTCTGTAAAGAGGTGAACAGTTCGTATGGTGGTCCATGCTTTCGTGGATTAAGCGTTTTAGCATCAAAAACTTCAATTTTTTTTGTTAGTCAAGAGTGTAGAAAAGTTATAACAAAAATTTGTGACAATTGGCCTGAACATATTTTTCCGTTTTTGTTGAAGGACTATGCATGCATATCAAAATAATTTTTTCAATTTTGGTTCACAAGCACAAGGAATTGCTAAACATGATACAAGTTAGTCCGAGAAACAAACGTTTAAGCTAAATATATAAAATCAGTTCGCGTAAACAACAAAAAACAGTAGAAAAACTCAGCAGCGTGAAACTTTGTACATTAGTTTTTGGATTTTGGAAGAGCTTTTAGAAAAAAAAAACTTAAAATAACAACTCTATAAGGTTTCAGTAAACAAAAACATCATTAAGATCGTTTATATGAGGTCGTCCGCATACTGTGTTCGTTGCCTGTGGCTGAGGCGAGAATTCAAAAGCCAAAAAAATTCAATCAGGGCGACGCCTTGAATCTTCTGACTGTCCTTCATTATCTATTCAATTTAAGAAAAAACAAAAAAAATGGAATCAAATGAAAAGTAAATTCTGTAAAATTCATCCGCCCGCACGCTATTTGGAATATAAAGTGATAATTTAACCTTTAGTAATGTTTTAATAAAAAAATAGCATGCCTCAGTTCAATTGTGAACAAATTTTGAGCCAGATTAACAGACGCTGATACGTTAGTATCACCAAACAAATTGCGCGTTAAGTGTCCCAAACTTACACTCTTTAGACCCCATCAATTCACGAAACAGGATCACAGGTGAAATATTTTTTTAAATCTGAGCTTAAGACATCAATACCTTTCAGATGGTATAGCAGTTTTTGCCGGAAAAGGCTAGATAAAAATAAAAATTGGTCTGGAGGAAAAAATGCAATTCGAGGACGAATATTTGTCATTTTCTTCGCGTCAGAATTGAAAGAGCTTAATTAGCTCATATCCCTCGACTCATTTGGATGAAAATTTTGCGGGTGGAAAAAGTTTTAAAAAACTAAAACACACCCGAGAAAAAAGACTACTCGCTTTCAAACGACTTTTTTTTCTAAAAAGTTCCCCTTTAATGCACCTATGCCCATACGTATAAGTGACATATTTTGGTGACAAACATTTTTTTAGCCTTTTTTGTCAACTTGGGCCGCTATTTCGATTTTGGGGGAGGAAGTGCCGGCAAAATAGGTCTTTTTGGTTGCAACCGATTAAAAAAGTTGTCGTGAAATTAAACAATTATTTGAGTACTTCGCATATTAGAATTATGGTTTGTTCGTTGCTAACTGCAAATTTATCAAAAAACCGAGAAAACCAAACTATTTCCTAAGAACAAGTAGAAAAAAAAACATTTAAAAAATGTTCCCAGCAATTTAAGGCGGATAAAATGCTGGCTTTTTTTCCAAATTTTGCCAGTAAATTTTTCGGCGGCAGCGGTCACTAGATTTTAGGGGGAGGAAGGGGGTTCCTTTGACCAAGTCCCCGTATCTGTTCTGATGGAATGCATGATTTAAAATGCTCTCTAAATATGTAAAAATTAGGCTTGAGTAGAAAACGGGTGCCGGACATCAAGCCGACGGGACTTCAAGCCGAATCGTAAAATTAGGGACTTCAAGCCGAATAGTTCTTTATAAAGTCGTGAAATATGATTAATTTGAAAACTTTTTTGAAGAATTTCTGATTTTCACGATCTTTCTTTACTAGTTATCGGCGTTTTCATAAAATTTAAGCCTCCAAATGATGTTTCGGAAAGTTGAAAAGTAAAACATGGTTGAAGGCATTTTTTATGTTTATAATTTATGCATTTCAAAAACCGGCTGATGTTATTAACGGATGCCAATCACAAGTGGTGCATTGTCATGAATAACATTTATCATGGATTAAACTTGCCAAAATTTTTGAAAAATAACGTTTTACAGATGATAAAATAGTGTTTTGAGGTGCTTGTAAAGTTTTAATTTCGGCATCAAGTCCCTTCCGCTTGAAGTCCCGTCGGCTTGTTGTCCTAGACCCGTAGAAAACATATTTCTGTGCAAGTATGTATGTAACAAATGAAAGGATATACCATGCAAAATGCGATGGTTTGAATTTAGAGGAACTTAAATTTTACCACATGTATTTGAAGCTGCAGATTCACCACAATGTTATGCTGAATGATTTCACGCTTCAGGCAATAATATTCATTTCCAACAAAGTTATCTTTAATATCATTATTGCGGCCAAGTTAGCGTGCAAAACTTTGACTGACAGGCATTTTTATCTTTAATTTCACCATTTATCAAATAAATGATAAAATTTTTGCGTTTTTAATTTTGTTAATCTTCTAAAATTTCTTTCAGTTTCACAAATTGCGTAACATTTTTGAACGCATTTCTTATTCACTTTAGCATATTTATTCTATATTTTTTGTGTAACACATAATGTACATAAATGTATCTTAGAATTACCTTTTTTAGAACCAGAATTTGTGTAGCTGTCTGAGCAACGCCTCATTGATTTGTTTTTAATCAATCAAAAAACATTACAGTCAACTAACTGAGAGCTTTTTAGATTCATTATAATAAAAATGCGTAACTTTGCAGTGGCCATGTTTTCAGCATTTTTAGCGTTCACTTTCAGCTGTGTTGTTTATCTTTCTGTTAATTATTACTTTGAATTAATACCTACTGCTGATGAGGTTCATCACAACTTCTGCCCATTACCAGATCCAAACTACGTACCCGTTGTGGGAATTCTGACCCAGGCAGGAATTGTCACATGTTGAATAGGATTCAGTTCACGTTTGAGTTTGTTTTGAACTAGTCCTTATGATCAGGCGCGGATCTACCCTTTTTGCTATGGTTTGGGGCTTCTCAAAGAAGTATCGAAAATGCCATCAGCTTTTTTTAGCGTCGACTAATTTTTTTAGTTTGAGTGCTCTCGAAAAATTAAACAGACCAATTTTTCAATAAGAAAACACGAGGTAAAAAAGCCGTTTTTGGGCAATTTGGGAAAGGTTGGAAGCAAAAATGTTGGAAGAAAAACTGAACTTTTCCAACATCTTCCAACTTTCTTCGAAAAACCGAAGAAGAAATTGCTCGAATCATGGAGTTGTCCACACATTGTCATGACGACTAATCATGCCATGAAAAGGATTTTGGTCCTTTCCCTCGTGGATTAATGGCCTTAAATAAAAAATAAGCATTTAGTCTTCATAATAAACCTTGTAAGATCACTCGTTACATCATAAAATTGATGCTTAAAAGGGGTGGGGGAAAAGAAGACAAAATTCATTGAAAGCTCAAAAAATGTAAAAATTAGTTTTAGTCACTACAATCGATTTTTTTATTACTTGTTTCCGAGTTAGGCTAGTTTAGCTAGCAACTTTTTTTTGCAATGAGCGCGAGTAGTTGGTCCAGTTTTAGAGTCTAAAAATGAAATGCGATTCATTTCTGATTTCATCTTCAGTCTCTTTCACACATGATTAAAACGTAAAACAGAAACAATTGTGAAATTACAGTCCCAAACGGTATTATATCGTGGCATTTGAAAAAAGTTGTTTTGACGATCTCTTTTGCATCATCAGAAGTTTTCTGAGGTTAATCTTCGCCCAGCAATCTTAAGCTAAAATTATTTTTAAAGAAAAGAATAAATGTTCCTCGAGAAATCAGATTGGGCTCTGTAAATAGCACCATTGAATTTGCTTAAATTGCAACAAACATAGTCAACAAGTCTTTGCTTACTAGTTTAAATTTTTGTCCTCAGAAACTCCAAAATACTTAAAGTTATCTCTAACTGGGATTTTTGTTGCAGAAATAGTGATATCAGAAGCGTTTCCCTGCCAAAACCTTCCTCAAAAATTGTCCTGCCAAAGTTTCCAATAAGGCATTTCGAGGTATTAATTATGTGTTTATTGTCTCTGCCCCAGTTATTAACAGCCAAGAGATCACTAAGAAATTCCAAATTTTTAGTAAATTTTTTAAAGAAGATAAACTTAGTATATATTACTGACTATATACAAAACTTAGAGCCGGTCAATCAAAAATGGGTGTCAAAAAGAGTTTAAAAATGTGGAAAATGAATTGAATTCCTCGGTAAATGACATGCTCTTTCCTAAAAAAAGGCTCTTGGTTATGGTAAATAGTGATTTTATATCTCTCAATTTTTGTTTTTTTTTTTCTTGAAGATTTTTGGTGCCATTTTCTCTACTGAAAGATGCTATCATTTACAGAAAAAAAACATATAAGAAAAGATATTTAGCTCTTTGAGGCTGAGAAAAAATAGAAAAAATTGTCGAAATCAAATTTGCTGGTGCTCTCGATAAGAAACAGTGTCCGTGTATGTTTACTGACACCTCCTTTTAACCTTTATGATTTTCCCCCTTTTTTGTGCAATTTTCAATTAAATTATACAACTAAAAAAATTTGATGCAATCTCGACCATTCCTGTAGCCCTTGATTAACAGGACAACATCTACGAGCCCAAAGGACAACAGAGTGGTCGTTACGTGTTATGGGCCACGTATGTGAAATGGATGGAACAAGCTGGTTTGAGAGTTGTACCTGTGTTGATGGACCAGTCAGATGACTATTACAGAGAGGTTTACAAGAGGGTTAATGGGCTGCTAATACCAGGGGGCAACGTCAGTATTGGTTAGTGAGAAGACCCCCTATTTCAGATTTTACCTTATACGCCCAAAATTGTAACTCTTAAAATATGATAGCAGAAAACAAAATGCTCAATTCTGATTGGTTGAAAATTTAAACAACAGAAGCGCATAGTTCGAGCAATCGTCCAGTTAGAACATGATGCGTTGTTAGGTTATTTTTGGCGGAATAAGTAAAAAGACCCATATAGACTCCCTATTTGGGTCTCCTGCATGTAGTTCTTAAGCAGGGGCACAACAGCGGTTCGCCGTGATGAGCTGTACAGCTTGTATGTTGGTCCTATCCCTCGTGGATAAATGATCTTAAATATTTCCTTGCCACTTTTCTACTTACAAACAGGTTACCATAATTAGGATCATGCACTTAATTAGCACCACTTGACTAGGCCTAAAGCTGGCCTTTTGATAACATTACATATCAGAGTAATGTAAATTGGCAGTTGTCTGTTGAATAATCTCTGATATGGAAACAATATATGTTAATATGGTTGAATATACTATATACTTTAGTTTCTTTTTCTAGTGAGTTAGGACCGAGTTGGTTAACTCATAGAGTAATTTCGGATAGGGTACACCGTCTGCTCGTCACGCTATCTTATTTTCGGCCGGATAGATTCGTGCAACTTCTTAGTCTAATACCGATCCTAATCTTACTCTTATACTATCTAGTCTCAGGTTGTTTAACTAGTCTCTGCTAGGCTCAATAGATCTAGGGTATACTGGTTTATTGCGGCTGCTGAAGTACTCGGGAGAGTCCAACTAATTTCTAAGTTAAATTCAAATCTCTCTGGTGCTGAAATTACAAGTAACTTCAGCACTTACAAATAAGTGGGTTGTTAGTTAGATGGATCATGATTGGTTAATATTAAATACTTTACATTGGTAAAATATCTAATTTATCCAATCATAAAATGTAGTTTAGATCAGGTTCCACCCATCCGGGTTTTACAGAGTTTTTTAGAATAGTTCTTCTGCAATTCGAAGGATGGATGATGGACGTTGGTGTTTGACGAACATCATATTTCTTCTGTTTCCTCTTTGTTAAAGAAGTTCCAGGAAGCTGGAGTTAGAGACATAAGACGTTGAGTCTTCTAGTGACAACGACTAAGTCTTTGCAACAAACTCAAATCTGATTTCAGAATGGTTGGCTATGTCAGGTTTTTCTGTTCTGCGTGGAGAACTTCTTTTGTGTCTGATCTAGTTTGGGAATGGCGTGGAGATTGTGCGTGGAGGGGATGCCTGGTTACTCGGATCTGTACGTATACTTGAACATCGAGGTGGTCATTGGTCTAGTTCAATGAAGTCCTTTTCTGCGAAGTCAAGTCGTACTCTAAATCCTTTGAGTTGTGATTGTGAGTGGCATATCGATTGTGGTTGGTCATTCTCTCTCGAGTGTAGTGGGGTCGTTTTGTCTTTAGATGTTCGTCCTTGGTGTGGTATTCTGATCTATGTATTGCATAATGTAATTTACATTTTATAAAACATTTATTAGTTTAATATTTTTTAATTATGATTTTAGTTAGTTGTTTTCACAAAAGCTTTTTGTTTTAGTTCGGTTATTTTGAAGAGTTACTCACACTTGAGTAGCTCTTATTAAAAATAGAGGTGTGGTCACAAAGCGTGGATGTAGCGCGGTGGGTTAGGCCGGCTATAGAGCATGCTCAGGACGTCCTTCCTGGTGGGTTAGGCCAGGAGTGGGAGTATGATTTCATGCGGTTTTTGTGAGGGGTCCTGTTATGTGACAACGTTTTATGTTGGGTTTGTTGTGAATTTTCTTATGTCTTGTTGGTTATGTCCTTTTTCCAAAAAGCAAATTGTTCGTGGTATGGGTTTGTCTTTCGACTTTTTTGTGTTTTATTATTTCTTTCTTAGACTTTATAATAGTCTTCAAAAGAATAAATTATCCAGTTTTAAACTGGGTTAATCCGGTTTGGGTACCGTTGGTTTCCTTTTCTTAGTCATGCTGTTATTCTATGATTTGTGGTATTTAGTAAGCTGCGTTGGTTAGTTTTGTTTAGTATATGATTCCTTTCCAACCGGGTTAAAGGAAAGTTTCAAACATGTTACTATATGTTAGAGTTGTTGAGTGTGAAAACTTGAAATTGAAATTCATTATTTTAAACAATTCTTCGTGGGCGAGCTGTGCGAGTGTGGATAGAATTTCTGTGCGAATGAATGAGAATATCAAAAGGTTAGTACTGCAATTGCATTTTATTAATTTACTGCATAGAATTTGGAAATTTACTGCTAGTTATGGGGGAATTTTAAGTTACAAATTATCATCATAATTAGATTTACTGCTTGTGGGGAAAATTTTAGAAATGAATTTACTGCATTGGTATTAAATTTATAAATTTATAAGTGTAAGAGAGTAATAGAATTTTTGAAATCTGTTTGATGAAATTTGCGATTTTTATTTGTCTTTTGTGGTTTTTGTAGGTGATTGTCGGATGAAGGCTAAAAATCTAAAGAAAACATGGGTAAAGTATGGTGAGTTTTTTAATATTTTAATTAGTTAGTAATATTCATTTAATTCATACTTACCTGTTAGTCGTCGGGGAAAAAACCGTGGGGGAAGATGTCGTGAATTAGTTCTGAAGTTGTTAGTAGTTTAGCTAAGATGCGGATGATATTTTTAGTCTGAAGCAGTGGCCAAAGCAATTGAAGTGCCTTAATAGTGGTTAGTTCTTCAGTGCCAACTGCAAACTCATAAGGTGTGTTTTGGATTAGATTATATAATTTGTGATTGAATTTAGTGTTGTGGATGAATTCTAAAATTGGGATTTCTATAGGTTGTACAAACTCGTGCGGGATAAGGAAGGGTCGGGATTCTTCGGCGTTGAAGGTCTTGGTGATGGGACAGAAGATGTACATTTGGGTTATGGGATCATAATTGCGAAGAATACCATGAAGGTTAGTATCTTTAATGCAATATGTGAAATTTAGGAAAAATGGTGAAGTGTATTTGGAATTAATGAATTGAAAGCGATGGTGTGGTTGTCTAGAGGGTGTGTGTAGGTCAAAGTGATTTTGGATGAAGCGATAATAACTATATGTGTGGGTTTGTTTAGTGCGCAACATAATATCGTGTGAGCAGTGTAAATCTCTTTCGTGTGGTGCAAGGAAATGAAAGGTTAGTGAAAATATTTGGAAGCGTTCTTTAAAACTTTCGTATGCTTGTGTGTCTGTTAGTGCTTCTGAAATAATGTGATCAAACTTTCGGTCGAAGATGTTTAGTGTAAATATATATGGTGTCTTGATGAAAAATTTCTCGGTAATTTGTGGGTTAGCGAAGCGATCGTCGTCTAAGAATTGATCTTGGTTAGCTCTGATGATGTTGTGATCATAGTATTCGAGTGTATATTCGTTAGCTCTAGGTGCAGTGTGTGTTTTTAGTGATTTTTTATATCCAACGTAAGTAAATTGTCTAGCGGTTAGTGGTGTAGTGAGTCGATATAGCATGTCCGTATTTCGCTCTATATCGATTTGAGTGTTAGATAAAGGTAAGCAAAGAGGGTTAGTAAAATGATAATATGAGGTCCAAGAGAGAGTGGGCATTAAAACGTAATCATCTACAAAGTTGCGTGTTTCGTTAGTGTCGTGGGGGGTGTTTAAGGTGTATTGTGGGAATGAGGGTAAGGTGATGGCTAAAAATTCTTTTGTGTTAGTATGCTTGGGGTGGTTGATGTATTCACGGGCTGTTCCTGGTTTTGCTGGGAAAGGATGGTTGGGGAACTTTCTTTTAAAAGTGCGGTAAGCTCTATTAGTATTGTGTGAAGATTCAGTTGATGTGGATGATGGTGCTAATGATTCAGTATAATTTGAAGAGGGTGTAGGGGTAGGGGGTTGGATGAATTGATTGTGGAGGAGATTTGGTTTATTGTTGGGGTATGGAGGTGGTAGGGTTGTTGTTGGAGGGTAATAAAATTATCTAGCTCTGGGGAGATTCGGGGGGTGTCTGGAGAATGAGATGATTGGTCAGAATGGTATGAGGAGTAGGTTGGGGTAACTTGGGAAGCATAAGAGGGTGTGGGAGTGATTGGGTCAGGGTTATTGGATAATATGGGTTGAAAAGGGGGTTGAGAAAAATTAGAAGAGTTATTAAAATTATTGGATGGGGATGGTTCTGAGTCGGCAAATTCATCGGGTGTTTCAATATTCGGGTTATTGAGTTGTGAGATGGAATATAAAACTGAGATGTGTGAATTAGTGTCGGAATTCATGCCTGATGGTACATTACTGGATGGAAAATCGGGTGGCGGAAAAGCAAAAAGTGGTATTATTGGGATTGGAGAGGTAAGATTGGTTGGGTGGGAATTTGATCGGTGTAGTGATCCAAGTTGGCGGCTCATCGTGGGCTAAAAAAATGATTATTTTGAGATTGAAAAGCGGTGGTATGGGGTTGTTCAATAATTTGTTCATAAGTATTATCATCTTGTGACTGGTGTGTCATTATATGTTGGATGGGACTTTGTGATGTGGTGAGTCGAAAATTTGGATTATGTGTGATGGCTAAATTTCGAAAATTTCGTGGGACTAGGGATAGTGGATGGTTATTTGGTAGGGGTGGTAATTGTGGTGCCGTTGGCGTTATGTCTACATTGTTATGTTCTTCGTCGTATGTATTTTGTCGTGTTGCTATTTTTGTGTTATATTCTTTTATTTGTGCGTCTAAAAGAATTTTGTTTATAGATGTAGAAAAGATTCCAAAAAATCCTGCAAAGAGTATGCGTGCTACGCTTGCTTGTCTGTTTACTTGTGTGTGTATAGCACATGTGTTGTAGATTCCTTTTAAAAGTGAGAAAAGAAATCCAATAAAGTTAAACATTGCGTATAAAATAGTCAATTTTTCTAAGATGTAGTAGGGCCATCCTAGAAAATCGAGGATCTCATTTTTGAGTGTAACAAAGCTAAAAATGTTAATTGGTGATATATCTTGGGGACGGTATTTTTCACCGTTTAGATATATATAATCTTTAATGTCTT